GACGAGTGGCCTGACGTCCGCCCGCTTCTGCTTTCTGGGCGTCCGAGGGCCGGAGGGCCCGCGGGGTAGCTCGGGGAGAGAACTGCGGAGGTTTCAGGCCTCCTTTGTCCTACCCTGCAGCTCCGCGTCGCCTAGGCAGTCGGAGTGTGAGTCGGCCTAGAGCTTCCTTAACCTAGGTTCTTCGTGTTCACACCGCCAGCGGGTACCGCCTGCAGACAGGTTTGTCATCGTCCTGACCTAGTTTCGTGTTCAGGAGACAGTCCTGGTAACACCTCCGGCCTGCACCCCGCGCAGGAAGGAAGGCAGCTAGCTGGCGGACCTGGCTCCAGCGCGATTCCCACCTGGAGCCTGCGCTCAGCCCTTCCAGGCAGGACCTTCCGAAGGTAACGCCGCACGACCTGGAATCAAAAAGGACAGAGAAGGCATCCTGTCTTCGGGAGAAAACTGCATCCTTAATCCGGGATTCCTTTAACTGCAGCTAACCCCAAACCAAAACCACTACCATCTAGTCGATCCGATTCATACTGTCCACTCCCAGCGAATCGTTTCCGACCCTTAGTATGATTCCCGAGACAGTAAATCTCAATGACAGCAGACAGTGTCGTCTTCCTTCTGCAGACCTTGCAGTTAGCAGCCAGCGCCTAATCCACAAGGCCAATTCTCCTTCAGTGAGTTCAGTTCCCTTCAAAGATGTTTGGGCGGCAGCGACGTCTTACTTCACCAAGATTGAGGTTTGCAGCCACCACACCTGGCCCCAGTCTCCGAACCACCCTATCCCGTTTCTCCAGATTAGTACCAGGTATCACAACCTCCCCGCATTCTGATAAAGAACTAGCCACACACCCATGGCACCGCGACACGTTGTTCTTGTCACTTGTTCCTTGCTTAGGAGTGTGTCGTCCCTCACTGCACTGGACTTCCTAGGTCGCTGCTGTGTAAGTGACTTTTATGCAAAACTGCTTGCTTGTCCCTTGTCAATAGGACATACTCTGTTTTGATCCTTTGTGTGCCAGCATTATTTACTTTCCTTACGTTTGACCCAGTGCCTAGTTAATGTTGGTGTATGTTCCATGTAAATTTGGAAATAACTTTGTATTCTGTTGTTGGGTCAAAGTGCTTGAAATACCCGTACTGACTTTTTGTCTACTTGTTCTGAGAGAGGTGTGGAGATTTCCAACAATAATTGTGGATTTGTCATTTTTTTCCTTTCAGTTGTCAATCTTTTCATGTTTTTGAAGCTCTTATTAAAGGCGTAATCATTTAAGATTATTATATCTTTTGATTATGTTGTCATTATGAAATAGCCTCAATTTCTAGTGATATTCCAGGTTCTAAATTCCTGGTGTGGCACTGTAGGATAAGCACTCAACTGCTAACTGCAAGGTGTGTGATTCAAACCTACCAGCCGCTCCATGGAAACTCTATACTGGGCTCTATGAATCCGAGGACTCCTGGTGTGGCACTGCAGGATAAGGCACTGAACCACAAAGTCAGTTTGAGCAGCAAGGTGGATGGTTCAAACTCATCAGCCACTCCTCGGAAACCCTTTACGTTCGGATTGCTACGAGTTGGAACTGACTGGACAGCACATAACAACAACAAAGTGAGTCGGAATCAACTTGATGACACTGACAACAGCAACAAAATCTACTTTGGTGTTAGCAATATAGCCATTCCATCTTTCTTATGAATAGTGTTAGACTGCTAACTGCAAGTCCACAAGTTCAAACCCACCAGCTACTCCAACAGAGAAAGATGAGACTTTCTGCTCCTATAAAGATTTACAGCTTCAAAAACCCTATACGGGTCACTATGAGTCGGAATTGAATCGACAACTCTTAACAACACCGTCTACTTTGGTCTGTGGGTGACGCAGTGTGCCCCCATCTACTAAACGAAGGTTTGATGGCTCCAATTTCCCCAGCAGTATCTGGGAAGAGAGGGTTGGGCTATCTGCTGCTATAAAAAGTGTAGCTTTTGTTAGGTGTTGTTAGGGCCAATCTGCCTCACAGCATCTCTTTGTTTGTACAACAGAACAAAACACTGCCTGGTCCTTCACGATTCTCACAATCATTACTATGTTTGAATTTAGCGTTGCTGCCACTGTATCAATCCATCTTGATGAGGATTTCCCTATTTTTCGCAGACTCTCTACCAAACATAATGTTCTTCATCAGGGACTGGTCCTTCCTAATTACATATCCAAAGTACATGAGACAAAGCCTCATTATCCTCAATTCTAAAAACATTCTTGTTGTACTTCTTAAAAAATGGGCTTATTCACTCTTCTGGCTGTCCATGGTATGTTCAATTCATCACCAATACCGTAACTTAAAGGCATCAATTCTTCTTCAGGCTTCCTTATTCATTGTCCAGATTTCTCATGCATATGAAGCAACTGACAATACCATGGCTTGAATCAAGCCATCTTAGTCCTCAAACTGACATTTTTACTCTCTCACACTTGAATGAGGTCTTGTGCTGAAGGGTAGCCCGATACAATACGTTGTTTGATTTCTTGAATGCTGTTTCCGTGCGCATAGACTGTGAATCCAGGTAAAATGAAATCCTTAACAACGTCACTTTTGTCTGTTTATCATGAGGTTGTTTATTAGTCCAGTTGTGATGACTTGTGTTTTCTTTACACTGAATTGTAATTCATACTGAAGGCTGTAGTCTTTGATCTTCATTAATCAGTACTTCAAATCCACTTTGCTTTCAACCAAGAAGGTTGTGTCATCTGCATATCATAGGTTGTTGATGAATCTTCTTCCAATCCTGCTGCCACGTTCTTATTCACATAATACAACTTCTTGGATTATTTGTTCAGCATAGAGATTAAATTATTGTTGTTGTTATTGTTAGGTGCTATCGAGTGCGTACCAACTCATAGTGACCTTATGTACAACAGAACAAAACACTGCCCACACTTGTGCCAACCTCACAATCATTGCTACGCTTGAGCCCATTGCTGCTGCCACTGTGCCAATCCATCTTGTTGGGGGTCTTCCTCATTTTTATGACTCTCCACTTTACCAAGCCAAGTGTCCTTATCCAGGGTCTGGTCCCTCCTAATAATATATCCAAAGTATGAGATATGAAGTCTGACCATCCTGGCTTCTGAGGAGCATTCTGGTTGTATTTCTTCCATCACAGATCTGTTTATTGTTTTGGTGGTCCATAGTGCTTTTAATATTCTCCTCCAACACCATAACTCAAATGTATCAATTCTTCTATGGTCTTCTTTATCCATTATCCACATTAAAGAAGTATAGTGAAAGGATCCAACCCGAGTTCACACTTTTCCTGATTTTAAAACATCCACTATCTCCTTGTTCTGTTTGAACGACTGCCTCTTGATCTATGTACAGGTTCCCCATGAGTCCAACTAAGTGTTCTGATATTCCTGTACTTTGTAATGTTATCCATAGTTTGTTATGATCCACACAGTTGAATGCCTTTGTATAGTCAATAAAACTCAGGTAAATATCTTTCTGGTATCTTCTGCTTTCAGCCAAGATCCATTAGACATTAGCAATAATTATTAAGTGTTAAGTGCCATGGACTTGGTTTCAACTCACAGTAACTCTGTACAGGGTTTCCAAGGAACAGCTGGTGGGTTAGAATCACAGTTCAGTATTTATCCTACAGTGCCACAATTATATCCCTCATTAAAAATAAAGTCAAGAAAACCCTATGACACGGTTCTGCTCTATAACACACAGGGTCACTATGCATCAGAACCAACTCAATCGCAATAGGTTTCATTTGTTTTTTGTTTACTTAAAGTGGCAGCATATAGGGGCTCAGGACCATTGTTGCAGGAAACACCATGGTCAATTGGCATAACATAGTCCACGAAAAACAATATTCTAAATCCTGCTTT